AGAGAGAGAGAGAGAGAGAGAGCGAGAGAGAAGAGAGGGGGGTAAATCTTCTATCTCCGATGATTCAAAAAGATATTACTAACGGCTCCCCAAACGGCTCCTCTCTCCCATTAGTCAGAGATGCAGGGTCGCTCGGGAGGACACCTCTCTTGGGAGTGTAGTCTAACTAACCGATATTACACCAATTTTTTACACCACCCAAAAATGCAGCGTCGCTCGGGAGGACACCTGTCCAATGTGTACACTTGTACAGCGATACTTACACCCCATTCTCACACCACCCAGAGATGCAGCGTCGCTCGGGAGGACACCTGTCCAGGGTGTACGATCTATCCAGCTGGTATTTACACCCCCATTCTTACACCACCCAGAGATGCAGCGCCGCTCGGGAGGACACCTATCCAGGGTGTACGGTCTGACCAGCCGCGGAGATCGCTACACCACCGTCTCTGAGCAGCTGGAGATGGACAGACTACCGCGGGAGTGGGACTGGAGGAACGTCGACGGCGTCAACTATGTGTCACCAGTGAGGTAGGAGCCGTGGAAGGGAAAGACCAGCTAAGTGTCTCCAGTTATAGGTAGGAGTTATGGGAGAGTCAGCTAACTCTGACGTGCTCTTTTGAACAGCTACGTGTACAGTCTACAGTGTGAGGTCCTCTCCTACAAGTCCTACGATGAGGTAGGACTTGTAGGAGAGGAAGGTCATGTGTGTCATCGTTTAACCAGGACTCGGGTGAGAGGAAGGTCTACAAATTACGTGTGGGATTGGCGAGGTAAGAGTCAGGTAGGAGTTGCGGAAGGGATGGATATACTGGTAGGTCCTACCCGTCAGGTAGGAATTGTGGAAGGGAAAGGTCAGCTATACATGTCTCCAGTTATAGGTAAGAGTTATGGGAGAGTCAGCTAACTACGTGTCACCAGTCAGGTATGAGTTGTGGAAGGGAAAGGTCAGCTACGTGTCTCAAACTATAGGTAGGAGTTATGGGAGAGTCAGCTAACTACGTGTCACCAGTCACTAGTCAGCGGTATGAGTTGTGGAAGGGAAAGGTCAGCTACGTGTCTCAAACTATAGGTAGGAGTTATGGGAGAGTCCGTCAACTATGTTTTACCAGTCAGGTATATGGAGTTGCAGCAGCACTGGCGGATCCAGGGGGGGCATTTAGGGCCATGGCCCCCCAAAGGCCTAAAGTGGCCTGTTTGCTCCCCCCCCCCCAAACGTCAGAAAAATTGCTAAGAAAATATACCTTGATGGAGGTTTTTAGCCACTTGGTAAAGTAAAGCTTTCCACAGCATAATATGGAGGCAATATGGTAGCAGTGAGGGTCAGTCAAAAGTTGCGCGAGCGGAGTCGCCACTTTCAAAAAAAGACTGTGGTTGGCACGTGTTTATGGCGCGGCAGCTGGTAGTTGGCGGTGTTTCGCGTGGTGTGGCATCACTGGCGGATCCAGCGGGGGGGGGGGGGGAGCACGGGAGCCTGAGGTGCCCCTGACAGCAGGCCCGTGGTGCCCTTGCTAGGCCTGTGGTGCCCCTAGACCCTGGCAGGCCTGTGGTGCCTCTGGCGGGCCTAGAGTGCCCCTGCTAGGCTGCTGATGCCCCTGGGACCTGACAGGACTGTGGTGCCCCTGACAAGCCTAAAGTGCCCCCAACAGACCCGTGATGCCCCCGACAGGCCCAAGGTGCCCCTGCGTGATGCCGTGATGCCTGCGAGGCCGGTGGTGCCCCTGCGAGGCCGGTGGGGCCCCTGACAGGCCCATGGTGCCCCTGCGAGGCCGGTGGGGCCCCTGCTAGACCGGTGGTGTCCCTGGCAGGCCTGTGATGCCCCTGCTAGGCCGCTGGTGCCCCTGGGCCCTGACAGGACTATGGTGCCCCTGACAGGCCCAAGGTGCCCCTGCAAGGCCGGTGGTGCCCCTGTAAGGCCTATGGTACCCCTGCTAGGCCTCTGGTACCCCTGACAGACCCATGGTGCCCCTGCGAGGCCGGTGGTGCCCCTGGCAGGTCTCTGGTGTCCCTGACAGACCTGGGGTGCCCCTGACAAGCCTGGTGGGGCCCCTCACAGGCCCGTGGTACCCTTGCTAGGCCTGTGGTGTCCCTGGCGGGCTGGTGGTGCCCGGTGCCCCTGCTAGGTCGGTGGTGCCCCTGACAAGCCTGTGGTGCCCCCGGGCACCAAGGGGGGTCATGACCCATGTGGCCCCCCTTGGATCTGCCACTGATACGTTATTACGCGCGGAGCGAGCGAAGCGAGCGTAGTCTTTCCTTAGATTAACGGAAATTTCTGAGTATGAGCGGCCGGCCGGCCGACCGGCCGGCCGGCCGTGCGGACGCTTTTGCGAGGCTTATATCTCAGCAACCACTTGACCGATTTACACGCGGTAATTTTTGTAGGGCAGCTTCATTCCTTCTACCAAGTATTGGACTATTCCTGATGCATGTGGGTGACCCCTTATGCACGTGCCACGTGCAAAACGAAGAGGTGTCAGTTTTGTAATTGTTGCAATATCTCGGTAACTACTTGGCCGATTGTGCTGAAAGTTTGTAGGTAGGCACCCACTAGGCACTACATATCCATGTGCCAGAGTTGGGGTGCTGCTGCACGTGCGCACGTGCAGGGGTCGTTTCCAGATCTCGAGAACGGCTCGACCGATTGCGCTCAAATTTGGTACACAGTTAGGGACCGGTTAGTAGGGTGCCGTGCACAAGTCAGCTGGGACCCATTTTGCACGTGCGCACGTGCAGGGTGCCGCTTCCAGATCTCGAGAACGGCTGGGCCGATTGTGCCCAAATTTGGCCCATCGCTAGAGAACGATTAGTAGGGTGCCATACACAAGTCAGTTTGAGGTACTCCCTCGCAATTTCGCACGTGCAAGGCCCACCCTCTCGCTCGCTCCGTTAGTCGCCCCAAAAGGCGTTATACTGGTGGCTTATGCAATATGCAATTGCGGGCACTTGGTATCCCTCCCTTATCCCTCATTGGGGGCTCTGGCGGGCTCCTGAGGGCCCACGTCTATCTCTGGGAGCCCTAGACGGGCTCCTTTGGGTCCTTTCAGTCCACTTTAGCATAAGAGGTCTCCACGCGAGTCCTATACATACATCTGAGGGCGTACCCTGACGTCTGAGGTACCCAACTGCAGCTCCAATGGTCTCTTACACTGGCGGATCCAGGGAGGGGGTATTGAGGGTCATGCCCCCTTCCCAGAGGCCTAAAGTGGCCCGTTTGCCCCTCCCCCAAACGATAATGAAACATAGTTCAATCAGTGGCCCAGGAGCCGAGTTAGACAGGGGGTGTTTTACCACCTCCCGGCCCGCAAAGGGACCCAAGCACTGACTCGAAGCGGGTTAACTGGTCGACAAAAGCAATGGTAAGTGTTTACAAAGTAATATAAAGGCATGGGTCGGGTGGGCTACCATTTAAATATTTTTTTTCTTTTTAGTTACAAAAAAATATTCATAGTATCAGGGCTGTGACGAAAAATAAGTGGCCTAAATCCGATGAGAAAACAGGATTTGGGGGTACCCTAGGTTTGGCTCCTGCATGAGTTGCCCCCCCCCCTCCCCCCAAAACGCAAGCCTGGATCCGCCAGTGTGCAGCAGGGATGGATAGGCAATCAATAAGAAGCTGGATAAACGTGTGCCTTCTAACTATGACTGTTCCGGGGGGTAAGTGTTTTGGAAGAAGAAGTTCTATTTATTAGGCGCGGGATGCGCGAGGGCTAGGCACGACTTATGAAAGGATGGGGCTGCCGGCTGTCAACTACATCAAACGTGTCTCAGCCGTGAGGTGGGACTGGTTGAAGAGGAAGGTCATGTGTCCCATCGTTTGACCAGGACTTGTGTGAGGGGAAGGTCTACAAATTACGTTTAGGATTGGCGAGGTAAGACTTGTGGAAAGGGTGAGTGTGTCAGTTACGTGACACGGATCTTCCGTAATAAAGGACTTCTGGGAGAGGAAGGTCATGTGTCACCAGTGATGTAGGACTTTGGGAGGGGTGAAATTGTCCTACTTCATATCTTCGGTGAAGTAAGACTACAGAACGAGTTGATGTAGTCAACTTAGTATGCCAACGTTACTGGCGTGGAACAGAAGCCAAAACATTAAATAATAACCTCTTGCCTTTCGCGTTTCGCTTCGCTGACACATTACCGTGCTACCCTTACAAGTTACATATCCTTCGTGTGTGCCGTGTTGCCAGGAACCAGGGCGCCTGCGGCTCATGTTACGCCTTTGCCTCGATGGGAGCTCTCGAGGCGCGCGTGAGAATTCTCACCAACAACACGCGCCGATCGGTGTTCTCACCCCAGGTGAGAGCTTGGTCTCATCTCACTCCTGAGACACAATCTTACCAGTTGATAGGTACACGTTTGTTAATCTCGATGTCATGTCATTTTTGGTATACCTTACATGTTTGTCGAGTTTTCTAAATGACCATTACCTAATCTCCTTTATAGAGTCGGTGTTTTTTTTTTTCAAGTTAATGACCTTTCGGGGTTTTCATACTTTCATTTGTTGGCACAGCCTGCCTTGATTAAATAATTTCAATGACGTTACCAATCCCAATGACGTCATGCGTTCGCTATTGCAGGACATAGTCAGCTGCAGTGAGTTTAGCCAGGGCTGCTCGGGCGGCTCTCAAATGACGTCATTTATATTGTAAATCTATTTCACAGGACATTGTCAGCTGCAGTGAGTTCAGCCAGGGCTGCTCGGGCGGCTCTCAAATGACGTCATTTATATTGTATATCTATTTCACAGGACATTGTCAGCTGCAGTGAGTTCAGCCAGGGCTGCTCGGGCGGCTCTCAAATGACGTCATTTATATTGTAAATCTATTTCACAGGACATAGTCAGCTGCAGTGAGTACAGCCAGGGCTGCTCGGGCGGCTCTCAAATGACGTCATTTATATTGTAAATCTATTTCACAGGACATTGTCAGCTGCAGTGAGTTCAGCCAGGGCTGCTCGGGCGGCTCTCAAATGACGTCATTTATATTGTAAATCTATTTCACAGGACATAGTCAGCTGCAGTGAGTTCAGCCAGGGCTGCTCGGGCGGCTCTCAAATGACGTCATTTATATTGTAAATCTATTTCACAGGACATTGTCAGCTGCAGTGAGTACAGCCAGGGCTGCTCGGGCGGCTCTCAAATGACGTCATTTATATTGTAAATCTATTTCACAGGACATTGTCAGCTGCAGTGAGTTCAGCCAGGGCTGCTCGGGCGGCTCTCAAATGACGTCATTTATATTGTAAATCTATTTCACAGGACATAGTCAGCTGCAGTGAGTTCAGCCAGGGCTGCTCGGGCGGCTCTCAAATGACGTCATTTATATTGTAAATCTATTTCACAGGACATTGTCAGCTGCAGTGAGTTCAGCCAGGGCTGCTCGGGCGGCTCTCAAATGACGTCATTTATATTGTAAATCTATTTCACAGGACATTGTCAGCTGCAGTGAGTTCAGCCAGGGCTGCTCGGGCGGCTCTCAAATGACGTCATTTATATTGTAAATCTATTTCACAGGACATTGTCAGCTGCAGTGAGTTCAGCCAGGGCTGCTCGGGCGGCTCTCAAATGACGTCATTTATATTGTAAATCTATTTCACAGGACATTGTCAGCTGCAGTGAGTTCAGCCAGGGCTGCTCGGGCGGCTCTCAAATGACGTCATTTATATTGTAAATCTATTTCACAGGACATTGTCAGCTGCAGTGAGTTCAGCCAGGGCTGCTCGGGCGGCTCTCAAATGACGTCATTTATATTGTAAATCTATTTCACAGGACATTGTCAGCTGCAGTGAGTTCAGCCAGGGCTGCTCGGGCGGCTCTCAAATGACGTCATTTATATTGTAAATCTATTTCACAGGACATAGTCAGCTGCAGTGAGTTCAGCCAGGGGTGCTCCGGCGGCTCTCAAATGACGTCATTTATATTGTAAATCTATTTCACAGGACATTGTCAGCTGCAGTGAGTTCAGCCAGGGCTGCTCGGGCGGCTCTCAAATGACGTCATTTATATTGTAAATCTATTTCACAGGACATTGTCAGCTGCAGTGAGTTCAGCCAGGGCTGCTCGGGCGGCTCTCAAATGACGTCATTTATATTGTAAATCTATTTCACAGGACATAGTCAGCTGCAGTGAGTTCAGCCAGGGCTGCTCGGGCGGCTCTCAAATGACGTCATTTATATTGTAAATCTATTTCACAGGACATAGTCAGCTGCAGTGAGTTCAGCCAGGGCTGCTCGGGCGGCTCTCAAATGACGTCATTTATATTGTAAATCTATTTCACAGGACATAGTCAGCTGCAGTGAGTTCAGCCAGGGCTGCTCGGGCGGCTCTCAAATGACGTCATTTATTACGGAGCGAGCGAAGCGAGCGGAGTCTTTCCTTAGATTAACGGAAATTTCTGAGTATGAGCGGCCGGCCGGCCGGCCGGCCGGCCGTGCGGACGCTTTTGCGAGGCTTATATCTCAGCAACCACTTGACCGATTTACACGGGGTAATTTTTGTAGGGTAGCTTCATTCCTTCTACCAAGTATTGAACTATTCCCGATGCATGTGGGTGACCCCTTATGCACGTGCCACGTGCAAAACGAAGACGTGTCAGTTTTGTAATTGTTGCAATATCTCGGTAACTACTGGGCCGATTATGCTGAAAGTTGGCATGTAGGTAGGCACCCACTAGGCACTGCATATCCATGTGCCAGAGTTGGGGTGCTGCTGCACGTGCGCACGTGCAGGGGTCGTTTCCAGATCTCGAGAACGGCTGGACCGATGGCGCTCAAATTTGGTACACGGTTAGGGACCAGTTAGTGGGGTGCCGTGCACAAGTCAGTTGGGACCCATTTTGCACGTGCGCACGTGCAGGGTGCCGCTTCCAGATCTCGAGAACGGCTGGGCCGATTGTGCTCAAATTTGGCACATCGCTAGAGACCGGTTAGTAGGGTGCCGTGCACAAGTCAGTTGGAGGTACCCCCTCGAAATTTCGCACGTGCAAGGCCCACCCTCTCGCTCGCTCCGTTAGTCGCCCCATAAGGCGTTATACTGGTATTGTAAATCTATTTCACAGGACATAGTCAGCTGCAGTGAGTTCAGCCAGGGCTGCTCGGGCGGCTCTCAAATGACGTCATTTATATTGTAAATCTATTTCACAGGACATAGTCAGCTGCAGTGAGTTCAGCCAGGGGTGCTCCGGCGGCTCTCAAATGACGTCATTTATATTGTATATCTATTTTACAGGACATTGTCAGCTGCAGTGAGTTCAGCCAAGGATGCTCCGGCGGCTTCCCCTATCTGATCGCAGGGAAATACGGCATGGTGAGTTACAACAGGTTCAGCAGCTCATGTGGTTCAGTGAAAGAAGGTAAGTAAGTATTAGGGTGTGTCACTAGAAGCAGATCAAGCGCTTCCGCTGATTTTCCTTGTCCCTGTGTCTATGGAAGCCCATTGGTGCAGTTCTTTTTTCCATGCATCGAAAATTCGATCGGCGCCGGCTGAAAGAAGTTCGGGATTTATCGTGGCGCCCGGCGTTGCAGTCTCCATGTTTGGCGTAATGCGTTTGATGACACTAACACCAGCCGCGCGCGTCTTCGCCTGTTAGCGTCGACAGACGCTGTCAATACGGATGTAAGCAATGCAAACGAGGCAGTATCCTCTATTTAGACAACGGTTACACAGAAAAGATGCATCTTTGCCATTCAATAGCAAACTGAATTCAACTAAATTAGCATTTGCCTACCTTGCATGGTTCAGGGGACCGATTTTCTTGCAGGCCTCCTCCGCCACCGGGGCACCGTGCCCCCCTTTGATTTGGGCATTTTAACATTAGCCCTATAGGCGTTGCATGGAAAGAATGGGACCAAAAGTCGGCAGTGCCCCCCCCCCCCCTTAATTGAAGGCGTTCCGCCGCTACTGTTTGCGGAGACGTTGCCCGTCCGCACGGCTCTGGTGAGCTGATACGGCAAGAGTTGGTCGCTGCTGAGGTCGGCGATGATGTTGTCCGGCAGATCCAGCCCTGGGCCGCTCACCGGTCGGAACTTCACGGGAGAAAGACGGTGCACGGAGCAGCCGGCTGCCTTGCCCAACGGCCCCATGAATGATCCGGGTCCACTGGTTTTGCCGTCCAAGTTCTGGAACACTTCCCTGAGTACAAGCTCATTCGAGTGCAGCTGGCAAACAAACCAATGGACCGTTTTCTCTTGAATAAGCTCCAAAAGTCTGCATATTCCACCAGATCTGCCCGTATTGACAGCCGCGCCATCGCAGCCATTAGCCAGAGTGGCAACGTTTATCAGCTCATTGGCTTGATCAATGGCTTTACCCGAAATTGGCGTAAAGTTGGAGAGATATTCGTTTCCTGGTTCTGCTATATTAGCCACATGTTCCTCAGTTGCCCTGTAGCCGCCTCGGCCCGTGCTAGTTTGATCATGCCTTCCATCAAAGTACATGGCCTTGAGCTCAGCGTCGCTGTGTTTTTGGTCCCGTGCGGCCACTGTACTTTGTCTCATCCGGCATCTTTCTCTCCATACTTTTTCGGGTCGACCAGCAATTCTGTTTTGCCGCTCGCTACGCGACCGATATCCATCTGAAAACCGTTGATGACGGCCGCTACAGCACGGTTGGATAAACCATACCTGTCAGTCAGCTGTCAGTGCAGTGTTTGTCATATCATCATCGTTTGAGTCTTCGATGCATTCCTTCATCTCAAATTCACTTGTGACGTCTTCATTGCTGTCGTTGGTGTCGGTCGTTGCCGATGAGTCTTCCTGGCCTGTCTCGTCGATATTGACGCTGTTGGAATAGGTACGGAGGTGGGAAGGACCAGCTTGACCCACGTCGCCCCTCCCCTCGTTCCGCCCCGTCTCATTCTAAGGCTCGCAGTCTTACGTCGTTTCCTCGTTTCCTCGTAGTCCACACCACCCAGTCTCATCTTCCGAACTCCTCTCTGGTCTCGAAGGAATGCTACTTCCGCTGGCGGTACCCGGTTTGAAAGTGGACAGGTACAGCTTCGCCGATCTTTACAGCGGCAGCGGGCGATGTCAAAAAGCTTACGAAACAGAATCGCTTCAGAAAGACTTTGTTTCGTGTGTCCCTCCCGCATTCTTTTGGGCACCTTGCTCGATCGGCGAAATCTTTAGTAGACTTGCTTTACCTTCCGAACCACATTGTGCATTTGTATCGTTGGTATGCCCTCACTCGACCACATTGCAACCACCGCTTCCGCTGTTTCACGTAAACATGCAGTGACTGTCCGCTCACTTTTTCAATCCCCTGCCAAGAGTCTCAAATAGTTCACTACATCTCTGTTTGTAGGCAGCTGATTTACCGGCAGCACACTGGGAGACTCGATAACAAAATGTTTCGCCTTGCTTCGCAACGGCATCACTTCGGCACGGGTAGTCCGATACGATTGCGCCACACGCACTTCTACTCACGCCGCAGCTGAAACCAGACTGACCCACGTTCTTCGCAAGCTCGTGTACCTCACCTCGCGGAGACAGCACATGACTCGAAAGCCGACACATTGTGTTGCCGACGGAGGGGTAATACCCGAGACCCCGCTCACGTTGCCCTCTGTCCATCCGTGCTCTCATTCTCCCTGCCCCACTCGTCAGGGCATATTTTAACCCTCGCATGTGTGCGGCGTTTGCCAGCTTCTAATGTGTAGGGGGGGGGGGGTCGGTTGGACCCCCCCCTTGCCGTTTGGCCCCTGATCGAGCTAGAGCTTCGCGGAAAAAACGAGCGTGTTGCCCGTGACGAGAGGAAGCCGATGATACCCAATTTTAAGGTCCTAGGTCATTGGTTGACCTTCCAGGTCAGGTCAATGACCCAAAGTCGGGAAAATCGGGACCTGTTAGAAAGTCGTAAAGTGTGGCTGCTAAGGGGTTTTTCGGGGTGCTGATCACGAATATCGTGTTAGTTTTGATCACAGATGATGTCTTGAAGCATTTAGACCAGGTCGGGTCAGGTCAGGTCAGGTCAACCAGTAGGCGTCGTGACGGGTATTCGTAGTACGTGTCAACCGCCTCTGACAGCTTCGTAACATGTTACGAAGTCACCAAAACTACTTCGTAAATGTTCAAATGGTTGCTAAATTCGAATTCAGCTCCAAAAACTAGCCTAGAAACATGTAAAACTCGAAAAAGTGACCCGAGGTCACCCGAGGTCACCAAAGGTCAATGACCTGACCTGACCTTCAGGTGACCTTGACACACACGGGAGTAACATCAAATCACATGTTTGAATGTTTGAAACCACGAAAAGCTTGCAAACACGCGGCTAGTGCGAGCCGACATACGCGAAATCGCGATTCCGGCCAAACATGGTCTCGGAAAAGAGGTCACAGGTCAAAGGTCATTTGGGTCAGGGTCATGAAATTTTCAGGGTAGGTGTCAAATTGATCAATGCGAGGATACTGAAAGTTTCGTCGCGATCGGCCGCTTTTTACGCGAGTTATTCGCGAAAAACCATGGGGGGGGTCCATCCGACCCCCCCCCCCTACACATGCGAGGGTTAAGGCCCTTACTGCGTCCCATTCTGGGACGCAGCCCCCTCGCCTTGGGACGTAGCCCCTGCTGATTTGACCCACTGCGTCCCTGCCCTGTGCCCTGTCCGGTTCCCTGACCTGTACCCTTTCCTCTAAAATGTCCTGTGTCATGCCCTGTAACCTGCCGTGCCCTACTTTCTGCCCTCCTCATTGCCCTACTCTGTTCCTTGCCCTGTGCCCTTAGTCGTAGCCCTCTGCTCAATTTTGGGACGCAGTAAAAATTTGTTAAAATATGCCCTGCCACTCATGATAGTCTTGCCAAGGCTGCAGCGTGATCCTATTATATGAATCATCTGTGGGTCCCTGAATGGCCTCAACACATTAAGATAACAGTATGTTTCGTCCGACGTCCATTTAAACAAGAAATAGCAATCGAATTTGAACCGTCAAACGGTGTTGGCCGCTACAGGCCGACGGCGAGTCATATGGCTGGTGTTAGCGCTACGGTACGCATTGTGTTCAGTATGGAGACTTCAACGCCGGGCGCCACGGGAAATGTCGAAATTGATTGGGCCCGCGCCGCCTGAATTTTCGGTGCAGCGAAAAAAGAACGGTGCCAATGGGCTTCAATGAACCCAGGGACAAGGAATATCCGCGGAAGCGCTTGATCTGAGACAAAAATATTAGATATGACACACCCTAGTAAGTATGACATGAGTGGCGGCAGGTTTAGCGGCTGGTTTCAGAACAGGGATGTTCCATAAAGCTCACAAAGCGCAGAGATTTTCCTTCACTTGGTAGTGGAAAGTAAAGTGCACATCAGCAAGATTACAAGTTCTGAAAACTAAACAACTAGTCGTAAACAACGTCCATGCGTTTAAGCTGCTTTTGTTTCCAACACTTCTGCGTGTTCTGCTAATCGGGAACTATTGCCTCGCACGATATGTAGTTTGTTCAATATCGACCGCTATATCCATTTCTCCACAGGATTACGGCGTGGTGGTGGAAGCCTGTAACCCCTACATGGGCAAGGACACGGAGAATTGCACTACGGACGAGACCTGCCGTAGGGTTTACACCTACCAATACAAATACGTGGGAGGTAAGCGTGGTTCAAACCCCTACACGAAGAATTACACTACGGAGGAGACCTGCCGCCAGGGACTATGCATGCACTATACACATGCTAGTACAAATACCTGGGAGGTGATTGGACCGTAGGGTAATACCCACCATTGGTGCAAAGCGCAATTACCGTTAAAAAATGAGGCCTAACAAAACTGAATCCTTCTAAATTCTAGCGTAAGACCAACAGAGCACGATACGATCATCACCCCCATCATCACTACCATCACCGCCACTACCATTCCAGGGTTTTTCGGCGGATGCAGCGAGCTAGAAATGATGCGGGCCCTGGTGAAGAAGGGACCGCTCCCGGTGGGTTTCGAGGTGTACCCCGACTTCCAGAGCTACAAGGGCGGCATCTATCGGCACGTCACCGAAACGAGACAGTTCGGCTTTGATCCGCTGGAGGTGGGACGCTATTTCTGCTTCGTTTTCGCTTATATCTTTTTTTTAATTTTGTGTCTACATATCGACCTTCGTTGTACCCTACGAACATTTGTGATGCGTGCTTTAGTCGCAGCCCGGGAGCGACTAAAGGGATTTCGCAGCCCGATGAAGGGATTTCCACTATACCACCTTGGTTTCAGATAGAGACGAGACGCTATATTGCAAAAATGCGGATATTCGTCAGACGTGGGGCACAATCCCCCTCCCCATAACATCCGAAAATAGTCTTTATTTTTCCGCATCGAAAACAAAATAGCCGATTTGCTTCGGAAATTCTCCTATACGGAGAGTCTCGGCAATGTTTGGACTTGGACGCCAGTGACGTCACGCTGTATGCAGCCAATGACGTCACGTCTGTGTGTTTTCAGCTGACCAATCACGCCGTGCTCCTAGTCGGTTATGGAGTGGAGGACGGAAAGAAGTACTGGATCGTCAAAAACTCGTGGGGAGAAGAGTGGGGTGAGAAGGGCTTCTTCAGGTGAGTTTAGAGAGTGGAGGAAGAGAGAGAGAGAGAGAGAGAGAGAGAGAGAGAGAGAGAGAGAGAGAGAGGGAGGGAGATAGAGAGAGAGAGAGAGAGAGAGAGAAAGAGAGTGAGTGAGTGAGAGAGAGAGAGAGAGAGAGAGAGAGAGAGAGAGAGAGAGAGAGAGAGAGAGAGAGAGAGAGAGAGAGAGAGAGAGAGAGAGAGAGAGAGAGAGAGAGAGAGAGAGAGAGAGAGAGAGAGAGAGAGAGAGAGAGAGGCAGACATCTTCAAGGCTTCAGGTCAGTCTCATATAGTGGGAAGAGACGGAGTGATAACTGAGAAAACAAAGCCCGATGAAGCTCTTTTTCAATATAGAATATCTGTTCAATCACCGTCTTGCACCTCATTCTTCGACACTCAGTCGACTGAGTTCCATGTTTAACGTCGATATGTTACAGGGAGTTTGAGAAATCCGTGAGTTTGCAAACTCCCTAGTGAGTTTGCAAACTCCCTGACCCATCAGTGAGTTTGCAAACTCACTAGGGAGTTTACAAATTCACTAGGGAGTTTGCAAACTCACTGATCGGTCAGGGAGTTTGAGAAATTTCAGAGTGATTGGGCCAAATAAAAACAAGTGTGCAGCATATGGGTGGCATACGTGCCGTCCGTGATGTTAAAACAAAGGAGGCTAGCTCTAAGGTCTCGCACGCTGACAAAAAGCTTATAGATCATATGCACACCATAAATACCTTTTTTATTTTAAACTGCTCAGTGATTTACCCATGCATGTACCGCCACCTTATTTAGTTATACATTAATTTAGTTCACGTCCAAATTAGACCCGTTCCACTCAAGTGTGGCTCAAGGAGTCTCTCACTTGAGTGTGGCTCACTCAAGGCTCAAGGAGTCAGGCTAAATATATCAAAGTAGAAACAGCTGACTGTTGGTCACTTATGCTAAAGTACAGGCACACGCATCAATTCACGCCCATTCCCACTCCGCCATAGACGTGTCATCGAGAGCCGGCGCTGCTGGCAGCCAGCCCAGCTGCGACTGGCGCACGCTGCTTGTTTGTTTTTGTTTTGTTGGGTTAGGCCCTTTCGGTCTGACAAGACCATTTCAGAGTCGGACGAATGATAGGAATTATAGGGGGAGACATTGGTCTGGGCAGACACCCTATATGCAGAGTCGCCGGGGCTGAGCCCGTCCGAAATGACAGACCGACCAGCCCCCCAAGCACTCTTTGCACCCGGCTACGGGGTCGCTCCCTCGGGAGCAGCGGTGCCGCTCCAAGGGATAAAGGTGATAAAGGGATAAAGGCCCGCATGAGATAAAGGTGCCTGTCCAGCCCGGAGTGAGGGTTTCGGCGTGGACGAAAAGGATTTCAGTATCCTGATTCCTGAGGATGGAAACGACGGAACGGAAGAGCACGTTGCTCCGAACCTCCCCTTTACATAGCCGCGAGTAGCATTTCTTTCGGTAAAGCAATGTAGGATCTGTAAACTTTTTGTCAGCGTGCGACGGTTATATAGGCCGTACCACTATTCGCTTTTGTTTTAACATCACGGACGGCACGTATGCCACCCTCATCTTACACATTTGATTTTATTTGGCCCAATCGCTCTGGAATTTCTCAAACTCCCTGACCGGTCAGTGAGTTTGCAAACTCCCTAGTGAATTTGCAAACTCCCTAGTGAGTTTGCAAAGTCACTGATGGGTCAGGGAGTTTGCAAACTCACTAGGGAGTTTGCAAATTCACGGAATTCTCCAACTCCCTGTAACAGATATAGTTCTACAATTACATACACATCTACGGCTTGTATTTATTGATCAAAACGCCACAATTCCTGTCGCTGACTTATGACGTCATTGGCTCTTGCCCACAGAATCGAGCGCGGAAACGACATGTGCGGCTTTGAGAGCATGGCCGTCGACTTTGACGTCAGCCCCTACTGAGTGTTGATGTCACACACCGACTGGTGACGTCACCTCTGTCTGAACACTATGACTGCAGTGACGTCATACGGAGGGGGTCACACGAATGACGTCATAGTGTGAATGTAAATCATGCTGCCGAACGTCACGAAGACGGGACCATGTGACAGTGACCGTTCCACTTCGTGATGTGGTTGCTTAGAAAAGCATTGGTCTTCTTATAGCTGCAATATCACATAACAACTGAGTTATATCACATCTAGTAAAAGCACACCGATATACGTTATCGGTGCCGTATATAGTGTTTCAGTAAAAAACCTATGCTACATTCCGGTCATGGCCTTATGCTGTAAATGGCATGAGGTTAATGCCTAGATCACCAAGAGCCGCCTTGCAGAGATAGTGTACCTATAGCTTGTATTTTACATATCTGATGGAGACCAGGAGAGGTGCCTTTTTGTTTGACCCTCTTTTCTCGATATTGTTTCTTGTACATTTTTGCAGAGCTTCGATGGTTATTAATTGCTCTACGGTATATACTTACCAGATATCAACCAATGCTCGCCATGATTATGCCAATAAACTGTAAAGCATTTACCTTTCAATGTTTGTATGCAGTTTTTCACACCTCACACATGTTATTGAGCCGATTGTATCGTACTGCCGTGAGTGTGTTTTACAAACTTATTCATCTGTTCACAAATTCATACTTTAGGCAGTTCTGACACATAAAACGGGTTTTGTGCCAGCGAGCTCCTACATACGTGACGACAAAATATCTACGGGCTACCGAAGAAAGCTATATGTTGATCTGGAAGTATCCAAAGCCAACATGTCTGTGTTTAAATGTCGTGAGATAGAAGAAAGACGACCCAGTTCCTTCATCCAACCAAAAGCAGCAGTGTACGATTCTTACACCATATATGAGCAGCACATATCAGTACACTTGTACGGACACTGGACTTAGAATAGTCACCATTTCGAAAATCTCGCTCCATATAACTGACTTTGATTCATATAACTTAAACATCGTATAGGTACAGCACAAATCATGACCACGCATTGCGCGTAGGTATTTACCGTCAAACAAATCACAGATAACACAGTTAAACACCTATTAAAGCCATTAAACGTCCAAACACAGTCGGTAGGTACAATATCACAAAACACCACCACAAACAATGGGGAAAATACCGTGGGAGCTTACCGACTGCCGTGTGTTCGTGAGCAGCGTGCACATATGTGCATCGTGCTAGTTCATGTGCACATATGCTAACGGACGACTTTACGCTGGGTAACTTTACCGTTGAATTCTCTGAAGATTTATTAAACTATTCCCACGCGAATTTATTCATTCGCGAAATTCTAAGCGAGTCGCAAAAAGGCAATATCTGAACCCTCGTAAACATATTTTTGTTTGATTTGGATATCCCCTAAAACAACCACTTTTGCAACAGGATCGTGCTAAAAAAAATGCAGGCTTATGGATCTTGTGAATAGCGCGAGGAATCATCGACAGTGAGTTAATGCATTCAACAAATGGACCTTGTTTCACGGCACGACGCTACAGTGTGCCACGCTACGCTACGGTATTGGGTTTCCATAGAAACAGCAACAAACTCTTACGATCTCAATGTTGGAGCGCCTGAGTTTGTTGTTGTTTCCTTAGAAACGCAATGCCCCGAAACGCATAGCGCGTTGTAGCGTCGTACCGTGAAACAGAGCCCTGGTGAACACCAAACAACAACGGTAATAACATTTCACGCATTACCGAAACACTTCGCTGCACTGGGGTTGCCAAAATTGCAAGGAGATGAAGCGCAAATGTGTAATGTCCAATGGTCCCTGAGCGTAATGACCGAAAAATGAGTAGAATGACGTCCTGCAGGCTGCACATAGGTTAATGAATATTTACATGATTTTTTAGGCTAAGATTAACTTGGGGAAATGTGAAAAGGAAAAGCGATGCTCCTGTTAGGAATGCAAGGAAACTTTGTAAGGTAAAATTTAGGAATAGTTGATACGCACACTATACCTCATAACTTCAAAGATTTCCGAAGAACGATACCTAAGTAAATGTTCAGGTTCCGAAGGAGGCATTCGATTGTCTAAAAGCGCGATCACAATATGCGTTGAAGTGCCCTAAGTGAAAACACTCGCCCACCAGTCAGTAAAACTGTACAGTGTACAATACGCTTGAAGCTTTGTTTGTTTTGTTGGGTTAGGCCCTTTCGGTCGACAAGACCATTGCAGAGCCGGAAGGATGATAGGAATTAGGGGGAGACATTGGTCTGGGCAGGCACCCTAGTGAGTCGCCGGGGCTGAGCCCGTCCAGAGGACAGGCCACCCAGCCCCAAAGCACTCACTGCACCCGGCTACGGGGTGCGCTCCCTCGGGAGCAGCGGTGCCGCTCCAAGGGAGCAGCCCGCATGAGATAAAGTTGCCTGCCCAGCCCGGTAGGGGGTTGTGGCGTGGAGGAGAAGGATTTCAGTATCCTGAGGATAGAAGCACGGACAGGTGACGCTTGAAGCACATGGACGAACGCGGCTTCAGCCGACCGCTCTACTCTCAGCGCAGCTACTCGTAGCCCGGAATTAACCAATCACAGCTGCCAGCAGCGACACCTATCGGCAACCCGGCGCACTGCAGCTTCTCACTCGGCCGCTAGATGTCAGACTCATCGCACGTGGTCCGACACTGGAGCAGCAGCGGCGTCCACACTGTCCGTAGACGGCGCCACAGAAGGCGAGCGCGGCATTTGAGGCAGTTCTGGCGACCGTGGCGAGACTGGCGCCCCTGGCGGTGACCTTGGCGCTCCCGGCGGTGACGACAGCAGCGCCTCTGGCGGCGAACTTGGTGCACTACCGGTCACGGCGACTATAGGTGGCAGCACCAGCGCTCCGGAAATGTTCCGTTCGATCGTTACGTGCACCCTGCCAGCCTCGTCGGTGCTTACTCTCCGCGTCGCCCCCGCCGCCCCCGCCCCCGCCGCCACAGGCACCGCCCACTCCCCCACACTCCCCCTCGCGTCCTCCCCCGCCCCCTGTCCCCCCGCCGACCCATCCCCCGCTCCCCCTCCCGTCCCCGGCACCCTCCCCATTTCCAAATCGGCCGGAGGTACCTTTTCGGGTACGTTCTGTACGAAAATAACCCTATTGTACGCTCTCCACCTTCTACAAAGCTGCGCGTAGACTTTACACTGCACATACATAAACACTATCCCTCCTGTGACGCCAATGGCCACCACGATAAGTTTTGTCCAAAAAGGCCAGCCAAGTACCCCAGAGTGCACCTCCTCGGTGGTACGTTCAATAAGAACGTACAGTGACCAGACGACACAGGTCAGGGCGACGACGTGAAATGTGACGGAGCAGAGGAGTTTGCGACGCTCGGAGGAGGCCATGTCCAGCCGCTCCCACTGCCGGAGAGAGTGAGAGGGAGGGAGTTAGAGTTGGAGTTAGAGTGTGGTTGAAGACGGTGTAGGGGCCTCAAGTGGCCAGGGTGAATAGTTACAATTGGAGGTAGAGTCATTGTAGGGGCCGGGGGGTGGGAGGTTAACGGTGGAGTTAGAGCTAGAGTTGTAGTTGGAGTTGGAGTGAGAGTTGACGTTGAGCGGGAGTCAGCACGATGTAGGCTCGAGACTCAGGTATGTATATTCGTACATATGTACAGGGATGTACGTTCTATGTCTATGGGAGCCAGACTGAGCTGGGTGTTATTGGAAGTAGGGCCTATGGCCTGTTGAGTTACGACGGTGTTCCCGATTAGATACGACATGGCACTGTAAGTTTAAAGGAAGGGTGCCACCTTCCGAAATTTTTGTTCTATGAATCTATTTTACTTATTTGAATTTTTAGACGTGGTTAGCGCGTCCACAATATACAAAAACCGAAACATTGCATTTAATACATTGGCCAAAAAAAAAAAAGATCGTTGTTTATATCACCACTACAACTCAAGGTCGTTTGATGTGGCAGCTAGGACGGCTGGCATATCCTGTTGTCATGGCAACATATCATTCTGCCATTTGCATTGATGGCGCAACTGAGACAAAAAGATGAACAAATAAAAAGGAAGAAGATAACATGATTTGAACTAAGTTGTAGGTAACCAAGTAGGTAACTGTTGGCCATATTTGCCACCATCAAATAAGTCGAGTAAAGGTTTTTCCTTTACAATGCTTAAGAGATCTATGGAACCCTTCACCCTTCATGCAACTTACTAGAAAAACTTCCCAATTAAAATTTTAAAACTTAAGTGTATACCATAAAGAAAAAATATACCCTTTCAAAATGATAAAACATGCTTCAAAAGTATAACTTTTATACATACCTTTGCTGATTTCATGTTTTATAAAATACCCTTAACACGACGAGGAAATAGTGCTGAAGATTTTTGCCTGCCCGAATGCTGGCAGCAAAACTCGCAAATGATAACTTCACGTGCGGATTCAATGCTGACCGTCTCGAGCATAGGTAAGTGAAGCCGGTTTTTAGGTTCATGTGAGGCTAATCTTGTAAAAACTGCGTTGTGTCCAAAAGGTGGCACCCTTCCTTTAATGTTTTTTTCATGCATTCAAAGTCGATGTTTCCATTTGAGTAGCACTTGTTAACATGACACACAAACAATTTAATAATACTTACTGACCATTAAATTTATTATACCATATCACAATATTAACCCGCGCCCCGTTGGGCTCTGCCGAGCAACGCGCCCGGTTGGGGGGGGGGCCATTTTGGCCCCCCCTAAGATCTCGAGAACCACGCAACATAGCGACAAGCGGTAAACGGCGTTGGATAGCCCCAACGGGGAACTACCTTGTGACCCAATTTTATTGACCTAGGTCAAACCGATGACGTCACAGGTCAGGTCAAAGGTCCAATTTTCACCGTTTACAGGCACTTCAAGAAATGCGTTGTAAAATCGAGTAAAATGCATTTCATTGAAAATCATCGATGGGGAAATGTTCCACAAACACATATGTTGCTATTTGAGGTCACTGATACCAGGTCAGGTCACAGAGGTCAGGTCACGGGGGGGTCACAATATGAAAGTGTCGTGTGATACATGTTTTATGGTCCATTTTACATGACAAATGCGATTATATGGGTCAGGTAGCCTTTGGGGCCAGCTTAGATCACGTTTTGGTCAAGGTCAGGTCAAGGTCAGGTCAAGGTCAGGTCAAATTAGGTCAAATTTCAAAGTTAATATTTTTGCATAAAATGGGTATCGAATCGATGCAGCTCGTCACGGGGAGTTCAATGGTGGTCTTTGTTTTGCCGTACGTGGTCTAGAATTGCTAAAAATTGAGTTCAAAAATTTGACGTCATCATTTTTGAACAGTTTTTTCGCTATAACTTGGCCAAAAAACGAGATATCGATCTGAAATTTGGTATGTATATAGAAGAGCGCTGGGACTATCACATATATTCCGGTTTTTTCGAAATTCGGAAAATTTTTGGATTTTTTCAAAGTTTTTCTAAAAAAATCAATTTTTTGATTTTTTTTGGGTCAAAAACCAAAAATTTGGAAAATCCGAGATAGCAGTTTTGTAGCGCCGCTTTTTGTCTACTAGACCATATAAAGAACTTTAAAAT